GGTTTGAGCAGTAGCTGGGCCTCTTACATGTAGTGTATGAACACATAGACCCTGTCGTTACACCTGCAGGCTCAGGAGGTCCCCCTCACTACCCTCAGGTTTGAGCAGTAGCTGGGCCTCTTACATGTAGTGTATGGACACATAGACCCTGAGCTTACACCTGCAGGCTCAGGAGGTCCCCCTCACTACCCTCAGGTTTGAGCAGTAGCTGGGCCTCTTACATGTAGTGTATGAACACATAGACCCTGTCTTACACCTGCAGGCTCAGGAGGTCCCCCTCACTACCCTCAGGTTTGAGCAGTAGCTGGGCCTCTTACATGTAGTGTATGAACACATAGACCCTGTCTTACACCTGCAGGCTCAGGAGGTCCCCCTCACTACCCTCAGGTTTGAGCAGTAGCTGGGCCTCTTACATGTAGTGTATGAACACACTAGACCCTGTGCTTAACACCTGCAGGCTCAGAGGTCCCCCTCACTACCCCTCAGGTTTGAGCAGTAGCTGGGCCTCTTACATGTAGTGTATGAACACACAGACCCTGTCTTACACCTGCAGGCTCAGGAGGTCCCCCTCACTACCCTCAGGTTTGAGCAGTAGCTGGGCCTCTTACATGTAGTGTATGAACACATAGACCCTGTCTTACACCTGCAGGCTCAGGAGGTCCCCCTCACTACCCTCAGGTTTGAGCAGTAGCTGGGCCTCTTACATGTAGTGTATGAACACATAGACCCTGTGTTACACCTGCAGGCTCAGGAGGTCCCCCTCACTACCCTCAGGTTTGAGCAGTAGCTGGGCCTCTTACATGTAGTGTATGAACACATAGACCCTGTGTTACACCTGCAGGCTCAGGAGGTCCCCCTCACTACCCTCAGGTTTGAGCAGTAGCTGGGCCTCTTACATGTAGTGTATGAACACATCAGACCCTGTGTTACACCTGCAGGCTCAGGAGGTCCCCCTCACTACCCTCAGGTTTGAGCAGTAGCTGGGCCTCTTACATGTAGTGTATGAACACACAGACCCTGTGTTACACCTGCAGGCTCAGGAGGTCCCCCTCACTACCCTCAGGTTTGAGCAGTAGCTGGGCCTCTTACATGTAGTGTATGAACACATAGACCCTGCGTTACACCTGCAGGCTCAGGAGGTCCCCCTCACTACCCTCAGGTTTGAGCAGTAGCTGGGCCTCTTACATGTAGTGTATGAACACATAGACCCTGGTTACACCTGCAGGCTCAGGAGGTCCCCCTCACTACCCTCAGGTTTGAGCAGTAGCTGGGCCTCTTACATGTAGTGTATGAACACATAGACCCTGCGTTACACCTGCAGGCTCAGGAGGTCCCCCTCACTACCCTCAGGTTGAGCAGTAGCTGGGCCTCTTACATGTAGTGTATGAACACATAGACCCTGCGTTACACCTGCAGGCTCAGGAGGTCCCCCTCACTACCCTCAGGTTTGAGCAGTAGCTGGGCCTCTTACATGTAGTGTATGAACACATAGACCCTGCGTTACACCTGCAGGCTCAGGAGGTCCCCCTCACTACCCTCAGGTTTGAGCAGTAGCTGGGCCTCTTACATGTAGTGTATGAACACATAGACCCTGCGTTACACCTGCAGGCTCAGGAGGTCCCCCTCACTACCCTCAGGTTTGAGCAGTAGCTGGGCCTCTTACATGTAGTGTATGAACACATAGACCCTGCGTTACACCTGCAGGCTCAGGAGGTCCCCCTCACTACCCTCAGGTTTGAGCAGTAGCTGGGCCTCTTACATGTAGTGTATGACACATAGACCCTGCGTTACACCTGCAGGCTCAGGAGGTCCCCCTCACTA